GAAAAAGCGGAGACACTGGAAGGCAGGCCGTCCGTTCTGGCTTGCTGGAACAGACAGTCCACGTGCATTCCTGGACCGTCCGTTCCGGCCTTCGGGTTTTTCGAAAATTAAACCGAAATTAGGGTTAAATCACTTTATAAGAAGGGGATTAAACCCTAATGAAGAGGGGCCGATTTAGAACACTTTTGACAGAGTTTTGGTGAGATCCAAGAGGTTCGAAGTGTGATCGAAGTCCCGTTTTCTCGAAGCACAAAACCGAATAACAGATTCAGGTCCTAGCAGATAAGTTCCAATCGTTGGAATCCATCCCGAGGTGTGGATACGTGTGGAGGGCGAGGTATTCTTCCTCTCTTTCGTAATCGAACGAATTCTTCAATTGTTACAGGCCCCGAATCGATTGAGGTAAGCATTCTTACTTTCCTACGATTCATAGAAGCATGGTTCTAGGGTTTCATAAAATTTTTGTTTTACATCCGATGTGCAAACCCTAGAATCGATCTCTTAAGAATATGATTCGCTCTTGAGATCCCAGGAAACCCAACAGTGGTATCAGAGCCTGGTTGCTCTGTTTTGATTTCGTAGAACCCAATCACGCACGCTTTAAGATTTGAATTGTTTGATTCCATGTTTGCTTTGATTTCTATGCATGTTTGATGATTGAATCTATGGTAGATTGCATGTTTCATGTTGCATAGAGTGCAGGAGTTCGAATTTTGGGTCTACAGATGAATTCAGAAGAGTTTCCAATCTGATCGGGGCTGAGAAAGCGAAAGAACGTGATCTGATCACATACCCTAAACCGTCCGTTCTGGGTATGCCAGACTGGACGATCCAGGGTTGGCGGACTGGATGGATCGGAACGGAAGGTCTGAACTGGACCGTCCGTTCCGTATGTTGCAGACCGTCCGTTCCACTTGGTCTGATCGTGGAACATCCGTTCTGACTTCTGAAGTCGAGACCGCTCGCTCTGCCAAGCCTAGAACGTCCGTTCTATGTCCAGAACGGACGGTCCGAGGTCCAGATTCCAAAATTTTTCGTGTCCTAAGTCCGATTATGCAATCGTTGCTTAATCTGATCAACTGTAACTCAAGTAGCATGATTCGTTCGTTTGGATGGTCCATAGTGAATGAATGCATGCAACTTAATCAAGATATTAGATATGCTTGATTGAGTGGGAGCTTCGGGATTGGGATTACATAATCGAATGGATGGTCTATTCGGATTATGTACAATCGTTGCACAGAAACCGGTTAGATCTAAGAGCTCTATGAGTAAAGCACTTATCAAGTCCTCGATCGTACGTGTCATGGGCCATGCCAAAGCTCGATGTGTCGTATTATCTTGATGAGGCAAGATGGAGAAATGGTGGTTCTCATAGCTTGAAAGTAGATGCTTGATCTGAGTGTAGTTTCAAAAATCCCTTATTTATGTAATGCTAAGCGTGTATCTTCCATTACTAGAGCGCCTGTCAAGGCATCGATCGTCCGTAACACGGGTCATGCCAAAGCTGAGCGTGCCGAATTATCTTTGTGAGACAGGATGGAAAATCGTGGTTCCCACAGCTTGAATATGGTTTACCTTAGGTTAAGTGGTTACAAATGAGACGAGTATGCAATGATATTCGATATCATAGTCTCATAAAAGATCTAAGAGTCACATTGGATGTGATTGACATTAGATGTCTACCTAAATAGCGTAAGGTTGAGTGTAACAACTCATTCTTATGTGAAATACGGATCTTAGTCCCATATAGAAAATTATTGTAGGATTATTTTTCTTTATGGGAATATAGCTTGTATGTGCATCTATGTTGTCGTTGATTGATGATGGACTAGCTAGTAGTAGATCATTGATAGAATCTGCATTTTGTTTTGTTCATTCTATTTTGCCTTTTTTCTGTAGGATATGGCGTCAACCGGTAGCGTACCGAGTTTGACGATGCGATCTATCCTTGAGAAGGATAAATTGACTGAGACGAACTTCTTGGACTGGTATCGTAACTTAAGAATTGTTCTCAAGCACGATAAGAAGTGATATACGCACGGAGGAGGTGTAGATAATCCGTGAACGATCACCGGCACTCTCGTGGAGGCACTCGAATTCGAACGACGGTTGGAGAAGGACCGAAAAGATGTTGGGAAGCATGAGTCCCGAATCTGCAGAGACAGTTTGAGGGGAAGAGCATGTTTGATATGATCAATCAACTCAAAACCATGTTTGAGGAGTTAGCGCGTACTGAAAAGTACAAGACGCTGAAAGCTTTGGTGAAGACGGAGACGCCGAGAGGCAGCTCTGTCAACACCCACGTGCTCAACATGAGAGCTTATATTGAGGAACTTGAGCGTATGGGAGTGAAGTTCGATGGAGATTTGGCCGTGGACTTGATCCTTGATGGCTCGGATTTTATCTGGATTTTATACCGAGTATGCCTTTGGTTTCTAAACGGTTTTCACACATACTAGGCATATTAGAGCCATCTTTAGGTATCCGGGACTAGGTTTTGATCATTGCAGAAACTCGAGGGTTTTCGGGATGAAACGGAGAAGACAAAAGCAGAATTCCCCAGATTTTAGGCCTGGAACAGACGGACTGGAATACAACGCAGAACGGACGGTCTACAGGTCAGAACGGACGGTCTACAGGTCAGAACGGACGGTCTACCTCTGCAGAACGGACGAACCATCAAAAATCGAAGCCTGGTCCGGAGCTGACCAATTCTGGTCAGCCGGACCAGGACCACGAGTTTCCTCAGTCCGCCAGCGGACTCCGAGCCGACGGCTGACCAGATCCGAAGAGCAACTGGTCCGGAGCTGACCTACTCAGGTCCGCCGGATCAGAACACCTCTGCCCCTCCTTGGTTCGCCTCTCGCCTGCCCCGGTCCGCCGAGCCTAGCCCACTGAAGACCTGGTCCGGAGCTGACCAAATTTGGTCAGCCGGACCAGGACCACTTTGCGCCGCGTTTCCGTGCTTCATTTACTCCCGGTCCGCCGGACCAACACCTGGTCCGGCTGACCGCATAACCTGAAACTGAATTAAGTCCGATTCTTCGGACTTTTGAGGGGGAGCTCGATTTGGGAAAGCAAAGGAGGCGATTTTCTCTCCTCCAAAAGACCTAGGGCCGAATTCTTGA